TGATTCAATAGGAGGTCTCACGGAAATAAGCATATAGTTGTACTCGTAGCTAAGATTTATTACTGTGAAAGGATAGATACATGATAGTATCAACAAGAAAAAAAAAGACACAGGTGGAATCTGGAGAAATCTATGCACAGGCTTCCTCACACCCCCTACCTCCTTTGAGAGAAGGGAAAAGGCACATGGGCCAAAGTCCAGAGGAAACAAGGCACAAGCTTTCAAGAGTCTTCTCCCAGTAGAGTCAAACAGGACACATTTAATTCTTCCAGCAATCAGCTGTGACAACACATGTGATATGTTGTCTACCAGGGAAGCTCACTAGAGACTAAGTGCCCAAGGTTTTCACTGGGAGCTGGTCACTAGTCACTCTCTACCTAGCATGTACCAAAATTCCAGACTCCCCGAAGGAATGCAGATGCTCAGCATAAATCACATTGTTTGTACAGTTTAGGCATAGTGAACCATTCTTATCATTTAGAAAAGGTTTTATACGAGTGTAGGGATTTGTTTGCCAGCCAAGTTTCTAGATGCCAGTCTCAAGGGCCAACCTTGCAATTAGGTCTTTCTAAGGACAGGCAGTCGCAGGCCTACTACATTAATTCTTCCTTTACAAAGACATTTAAGACAAAGACATTCCCTTATATAACTACATTATCACTCTAAAATCAGGAAATTAATACTGATACAATCCTATTATCTATTTTACAGACATTATTCAAAGTTTTCCAGTTGTCTCACTGACATCCTTTATAGTAAAATAAACAACTTTTTTCTAGTACAGGATTCGATCCAGGATCACATGTTGCATTTAGCTGTCATGTGCCTGCAGTCTCCTTAAATCTGGATCACTTTCTCAGTTTTTCTTTGTTTTTTTATGACCTTGATTTTTGTGTGTGTGTGTGTGTGTGTGTGTGTGTGTGTGTGTGTGAGGAAGATCAGCCCGGAGCTAACATCCATGCTAATCCTCCTCTTTTTGCTGAGGAAGACTGGCTCTGAGCTAACATCTATTGCCAATCCTCCTCCTTTTTTCCCCCAAAGCCCCAGTAGATAGTTGTATGTCATAGTTGCACATCCTTCTAGTTGCCATATGTGGGAGGCGGCCTCAGCATGGCCAGAGAAACGGGTTGTCGGTGCGCACCCAGGATCCGAACCTGGGCCGCCAGTAGCAGAACGCGCACACTTAACTGCTAAGCCACAGGGCCAGCCCGACCTTGATGTTTTTTAAGAGAACAAACCTGGGCCTGGCCCGGTGGCGCAGCGGTTAAGTGCGCGCACTCCACTTCGGCAGCCCAGGGTTCCCAGGTTCCGATCCTGGGCACACATTGACACACCGCTTGCAAAGCCATGCTGTGGCGGCATCCCATATAAAGTAGAGGAAGGGGCCAGCACGTGGCTTAGCGGTTAAGTGCGTGTGCTCCACTGCTGGCGGCCCAGGTTCGGATCCTGGGCGCGCACCGATGCCCCGCTTCTCTGGCCATGCTGAGGCCGCATCCCACATAGAGCAACTAGAAGGATGTGCAGCTATGACATACAACTATCTGCTGGGGCTTTGGCGGGAAAATAAATAAATAAATAAATAAAATTTAGGGCCGGCCCCGTGGCTTAGCGGTTAAGTGTGCGTGCTCCACT